TTTTTTCCCCTCATCTGGGAAGATAAAGACTATTTCTCCAGTTTTAACTTATCCTTCATTCTTTACACTATTGAACATCCACAATCAAAGCAAAGGACTCTGAACTTTCAGGAGAGACATGGTACACCATAGTTGAACATCCACATACCCTTAGATTTGAGCCCTAAATTGGCTCTGTAACCTTGTGAGAGTGCCTATGCACTCTCTCCTCTTTACCTAACAAGGAGAAAGAGACTGCAGTCATCCAAATGTTAAGTTATCAGTCAAAAGAAAGAATTATGGAAAGTTCTTTATACATTGTTTTGTACATGATGATACCCCAAATTAACTATTATCACTAAATTTTGTTTAAAAATTCATTCCTAGGGTGTTTGGTCCATAAATAAAAGTTCTGGTTCACATTTCTTCACCTTCTTGACTACAGAGCATGTCAAATAGATAACTCACACTATGAGAAAATTCTGGTATTTCATTGACTAAACCAGAGTACTCTGTCTCTAATATTTTGTTTCATCACTTTCATATCTCATTACACATACACACATAGTTATAGAATTGGAAGCACAGAGCTTATACCCAGGTGACAATATGTGTGAAGTAAATGGTTGTATTTAGTAGGAAGTGAGGTGTCTGTTGTTTTCACAAAGCTCTCCATGTGGATGCATACTTGAGACAGAGTCCCACCTATACACTTCTTCTCTCTCCAGTTTGCATTTCCTCAGTGGCTTCCCGAGTACACACGTGCAGGAATGGCAGGTAACTGGTATTTAGAGGCACATAAAGGAATGGCATTCCCCATCACCCCGATGTGAGCAAACACATACTCCATGGGTGCTATCTCTGTCATGCCCACCTCATATGATGTTCATCTCTGCTACTTATTAATTCATTTATGGATTCTCTTGCTTCTCACTTATCTCTAAGCGCTCATCATTCATTGCAATTCTACAGGGAAATTCACGCTGGATGAATTTCATCTTCCTGCTAGCCAGAACAATCAGATTTAAGGGAACATTTGTGCCAGGCCTTGTGTCTGCCAATATTCTTTCTATCTAGGTAATCAGCAGATATGCCTCTGCTGTTCTGCTCACATCAATTTCAATTCAAGTTGCTCTGAACTGTCAAGCTAATAAAACAAAGACACTGCTCTCCCTGCCCCGGGATGCAGAACACCTTTACATAATGCAGTCACACCACTGCTCAAAGTGATGCTAATAAGAGCCAGCAGTTTCCCTGCAGATAGTCAACAGCAAGAGACATGAAGGGCAAATGCAGGATTAACAAGGAATGCTTGTTGTGTCCTGCAGTCATGCTGTTGCTGCTTCCCCTCATCCCATACCTGGTGCAGTGTTTGAATGCATAAAGCCGTTTGTTAAAAAGAAATGGTTGCAAATGGTTCATTGCAAATCACTCCTGCCCAGTTTATTCACCTGTTTCGCCATCAAAGGACCAATATTTGAACATGGTCTTCCTTTCCTACAGAAAATACAATTAATCTAGAGAATGTATTTTTGAATTGAATTGGAAAGAACCCATTTGAATTGAAAGGGAAAGGGGTAGTCAGGAAGAAGAAAAGTAAAAGTGTGTTTTGTTTGCTTTTAGTGTTCCAGAGTTATTTACTGATTTGTATAAATCAAAATATGACTGATATTAGCATCTTACTAAAATTTACTATTAACTTACTTATCTGGTCAAATATGGCTAAAAATATCCTGAGGAGCCCCCCTGGGGTGACTCTGCTGACTTTCCTGGAGTAATGGATATACCTTCTTCAGGTTTTTGTTTGTTTGTTATGCATTTTTTATCTACTCTTTTCTTCCTTTCATCTTTTAAATTTTTAAATTAATTTACATATGTCATATCCCAGTCTGTTTCCCTCACCCCCTCCTCTCAGTCTCTTCCCACCCACCCCTTCTATTTCCATTGCCCCAGTTCACTCCCCCTCCATTTCTGTTTAGGAAAGGGCAGGTCTCTCATGAGTATCAACAAAACATGCATATCGAGTTGCAGTAAGACTAAGCACCTCCCCAAGAGTTAAGGCTGGGCTGTGAGGCAAAGGATGGAACTGGGCTCAAGAAACTGAACTGGATCATTAAGGTGGCATAGCCACTGTGACTCTACATGGGCTATACCCTCACAGATGTGTGGCTGGCTCAAGGCAAGGGAATGCCAGGCATTTCAACAAAACAAACTTCAAGTTTAAATGTTCATAGGAAATTTCCAAAGGAGAAAAGGAGAGTTGAAATTTCTACTTCTTGGCAAGACAAGTACCCAGTGTTAAGAATGTCATATTTCATTACTCATTGCAATATGGAAAGAAGCAGAAATCCTCACTGGTGGGATGTGCTGGACATTAAAAATGTGGGTATGTTTTAAGACAATCAGAATAGAATGCTAAGTGGTGTCTAAGCACACTGCAAGGTTCTCCATTTTGTTAAAACACTGTATTTCAGGCAGTAGAATAGTAGTTAACAAGGATTAATTGACTTCATCCTCAGAGCAGTCTATTGGATTGTATGTTCATCTCTATATTCTCAACAAGGCAAGTGTGGCTCAGATGACATGCACTTGTCTTGAGCAGACATTTCAACAGGAAGAGCAGTACAACTGGAACTCAAACTCAGTCAGCCTGAATTTTAAAAATGTCATAATATAAGTCAAACTTTATCTAGAGCATTCTTGACACTAAATCTTTAAACTATGTAAATGTTTTCCAGAATAAATATTCAGATGGAGCTTGAGAGACGAGACGCTATATCTAGCTGAAACATGGGATGAAAGTGGGATAAAAGCTTATACAAAGATGAAAAGATCTGTAGTATATTTTCTTAAGTATATATACACTAAGGATATCATATACTAGTCTGTCAAATTCTGAATTTAGCATGCATTTCATCTTATTTTGCGGGACATTTCAGTCTAGAAGCCTGGTTTTATGCATACAAAAAGGGCTGAGCCCCTATGGAAAGGTTGCTTTACACCTCTAAAAGAAAGAGGAAATAGAACACATTAAAAGGATGTACATTTGGGCTTGAGTTTCTTAAATGAAGTTGGTTTCTTTCTCTGGGCATAACACAGGAGCTTCTTGTGAATCCCTGATCTTAGCAAAATGACAGTGTCTTTATGGCTGCATGGGTTTGACACCATTTCTGACATTTTTCCAGACAGAGTATAGGCCTGTTACTATATTTCTCTGTTGACTGAGGTTTCTGTCCTGCCAGGTTCCACAGCCATTTAGACCCAAATAAACACACAGAGATTTATATTAATCATAAACTGACGTCTTATTAACTCTTATAACTTATATTAGCCTATAATATTTGTCTGTGTTAGCCACATGGCTTGGTCCCTTTTTCAGCAAGGCAGTCCCATCTTGCTTCCTCTATGTTTGAATGACAACTGTAGACTGACTCTTTCTCTTCCCAGAATTCTCCTGTTCTCATTCTCTTCTCATTGACCTGCCTATACTTCCTGCCTGGCTACTGGCCAATCAGCATTTTATTAAACAAGTACAAGGAACAAATCCTTACAGGGTAAAACCATTGTCCCACAGCACTTTTCTAACCCTTAATATGTCATTACATAACACATTCTAACTCATTCAGAAACTGTCATCATACATCCACACTGACCAAAAGACACAATTCATCCTCAAAGAGTAGCCTGTTTTATATCCATTGTGCCTTTAAAGACAATTCAGCCCAGAAGAGGACTAACTCTCCTTATTCCTCCCACAACCGTCAGTTTCTAGGAGCTCCTCCACAAAGCCTGGGACTTCCCATGCTAAGATTTTCTCTGACTTGATACTGGGCATGTCTTATGCATGCAGTCAACAACCACTGAATTCCTGTGTACACCTGTTCTATCATGTCCAGAAAATATTGCCTGTAATCATCCACTGCATCTGGAATTTATAATCTTCCTCCACCCTCTTCAGTGATGGTCCCTGGGCCTTGGGAGGAAGAGGTACGAAAACATTAATTCTGTTTTCTAAAGAAATGGAATGATGTACCATATTCTATATGAAAAAAATATTAAGACATTAATTCTGTTTTCTAAAGAAATGGAATGATGTACCATATTCTATATGAAAAAAATATTAAGACATTAATTCTGTTTTCTAAAGAAATGGAATGATGTACCATATTCTATATGAAAAAAAATATAAAGACATTAATTCTGTTTTCTAAAGAAATGGAATGATGTACCATATTCTATTTGAAAAAATACTAAGTCTATAACTGACCCATTCTGTTTTTATCAGAGTATAAATCTTCATAACCATAGTAATACCATTGCGGTTCATAGCAAGGATAATGAAACCTTTGGTATTTTTTTTCATTATAACTGATTGATACAACTTAGATGGTTTTACTTTGAGTATTGGTCATTAGAAAACCAAAGAGCCACCATGTAGGTTGGATAATCTCTGGCTTATTGTCCTTTTCTGCTAATTTAATTTTCCAGGTTTATTTTGGTAAAAAAAAAATAATCTTATGAATATTATCTCATGCCTTGGCCATTGAGAGGTGGATCACTAGCCAGCCGAGGTTATCAAGTTGGGAAATTCTTCAAGGCCAACAGGATGCATTCTCATAGCATACAAAGATGCACCATTCAAGTCACTTCAAAGGCAGGCAAGAATGCTGCCCACTCATTCGCTCCACAAAACCCTGACAGCCATTCAAATCTATTTGAAATATTATATCTTATGTCAAATATCATATCATTATGTAGATCAACCATATGCAAGCCTTTAATTGTGTGGTTTCTATCCCCAGACAATTTCTAATTTCTCTGGAGCTGTTCTTGCCTAGTGGGATCAATTAAAAAAGAAAAAGACTCTTAAAAAATTCTATGGGTTGCAAGTTCAACAAGAAGAACTTCCTGTAAGTTTTCCCTTGTCCAACGGCCAGCATTAGCATGATCAGGTGACCCATATTTCACCAGTTTGTCTGGGAGGTGCTGTCCTCCAGAACCACATATGTTTGGTGACATACCTCATAGAGGTCAATCATGACGTTGCCTTCAGGTCCTCTGCTACTCTGGACATTCTCCAAGGCCAGGGTAAAGTACACACCACGGGTGTCCGAGATGTAGAGGTTGTACGTGTCATTCTGGTTCCATTCTTGGACGGCTGCAAACACTTGGTTCTCATCTGTGCTGATGACATGCATGTCCTGAAGAAGAACACAAGGAAGTGAAGCGGGAAGGATTTTATACACTAACCTGGCACACATTCAAAGAGTGTGGATGATCAAGAGCTTTGATAGGATGCAGAGGGAGAGATAGCAAAAGTTGCCTTTCACATTTATGAAAATGAGTTAAACCAGGCAGTGATGGCACACACCTTTAATCCCAGGACTCAGGAAGCAGAGGCAGATGGATCTCTGTAAGTTCGAGGATAGCCTGGTCCACAGAGAGAATTCCAGAGCAGTCTCCAAAGCTACACAGAGATACCCTGTCTCAAATGCCCCCCACCAAAAAGAGAGTTAAGTAGTAATTGAGCATTTTCTCTGTCACTTTGGGGTGAAGAAATGAACCATGACACAATGAGAAAGAAGGAGGTATAGAAGTGTTATTGCAATTTAATTGCCTTGTTAGACAATTTGAAGTCAGTGTTCCTAAATATGCATGATTTGAAGAACCAGTCATTTTTATGTATTTGTCAAGTTTGCGTACTACTACTCAGAAGTCATACACAAGGCAAATATAAGGACAATCTGCAGTGGCCAGAAGAAGCCCGACAAGCTCTGGATTCCGCTGTAGTCTGTAGACTAGCAGCACTGGTACTGGCGGCAAACTCCTTAGACACACAGAACCTCAGACCCTACCCACTGAATTACAGTATGTTTTTTAATAAGGTCCCTCCATGAATAATATGCACATTCAAGTTTGACAAGCACTGCCAAAGGTTCAGCAACACCCTGAAATTCCCTAGGGGAAAAACGTCCACCAGAAAAATTCCAAAGCATTAACATTTGTATTATCAATTAGTTTAAGAACTCAGCTATTAATCTAATGTTTTCCTCTGCCATGTTCTCTAAGAAAACCGCAAGAGATGAAGGAGTTATCATAAAGGATGATGCTCCCAGACCCCAAGACAGAGTAGTTAAGTGAACAGAACATGAAGGCCTCATCTGCCATCCTCTGGCAAGAATTCCAAATCCTTCATTCCCCACTCAGGACTCTAGCCATTGTCTGACACTATTTGAAACTGGCTGTCTCCAGTCAAGGCTTACTGTTTCCTTAAGGGAAGCCTGCTGCTGTGCTCTGGGCTGATTTTTAATCCTGTGGCCTAAAAAGTCTACACAGAGTAAATTCCAAAGAACTCAGAGTAAAGCAGTTAAAATATAAAAAGGCCAAAAATAAACAGAGGTACCCAAAAATATACAGCAAAAGAAAAATATAGAAATGACCTTGGATTTTGTAAAACTCAAATCTTCATAAATGGACCATGCTGTCTGTACGCTTGAGACACTTTACATCTCATGATCTTCTCAGAAACCATCCTGACCCAAATTGTTCAGTGTGCCTTGAGTCCTCCTTCTAACCTCGAGTTCTCATAATCTGAGTTCCGTCTCGGCTTGGGACACAGTCACCTGAGTGGAACTTCGTGCTCAGATATTCTGTCTGTGAGCACAAGATAACAATAACATGTCCTTCACAGGACAGTGAAGATAAAATCAGCAAGTCTCAAGTACCATAACAATATTCACCACTTAGGGCAGTGTTTCACTTAAGGGAGTCTGTCTATCCCTTTTGTTGATTATGAAAGATCAACTTGGCTTCTCTGCCTTTGAAATATTTCAATATTCACTCACTGTTATACTCAAGAAAAGGTTCATCCAAATGTTTTCTGTCTGATGGAGGGAATTAGCTACAGAAATTATCCTTAAGTTCACTAGTTCGTTCAAGTGGACAAACCTTCTATGGTTCCTAATTCATGATAGGATAGGAGTCAAAACCTTTAAAATAGCTGAACAACTCCTTTCTGTTTATGTGTCCTACCCTTAAGTATGTTATAATCCTGGATTTCTGTTAAATTGTTTCAAATGAGAGCTGCGCCTAGCACAGCCAGTTCCCACCCATGGTCTTCCGTGTGTGTTTCTGCAGCAGTGAGCTTTGATGCACACACCCCACAGACTTGAGAACGCAATCCTGAGAGACGACTGTCATACTTCTATGGCATTGTACTTCATAATCCACTGTGGAGATTTGGTTCTTATAGATACGAGCTAACGTTAATCATGAGCTTGACAAGAATTACCTTAGAGATAAGACTCTGGGAATACAACAATTCTCTAGACTGGGTTAACTGACTTGAGAAGACCCACCCCTAAGGGGAACAGCATGTTGGGCTCTATCCTGGACTGAATGAACATGGGAAAGGTGGCTGAGCACAGACATTCATCTCTCTCTGCTTCCTTAAAGCAGATGCAACATGGCCAGCAGCCTCAGGCCTCTGCTGCAAGGATCCATTCTGAGCACCTTGAACTGTGAGCCAAGTGAAGTCTTTTTTCCTTTAAGTTGCTTTTGCCAGGGTATTTTACCACAGCAACAGGACAAATAACTAACACAATATTGAAAATACATCTCTTTTACATGGCTTTAACAGGGTCGCTTAGAGAACTTGTCATACAATGTTAACTGGGAAAAATGACCATGTCTGAAGATTATCTTTATGTAATTTTACTAAGTAGACTTTACACAATGATGCTGGTCATAAATGTTTGATACATTTGGAATTTTATTCACCTTTCCCCAACAACTTATTAAGAAAATGTGTTTTTACTGCTGCATTGATTCCCCTGATTCTGAACCAGTCCGGACTCTTATTTGGAATTCTACTAGAATACCTTGCAAAGTCTGTTCTATAGGCATTACTGGGTTTTAGTGGATTTTTCAATGGAGGTAGAAGCTCCTTTGAATCTTTTTGTATGTACTAGTGGTGGTGGTTTATTCATTCGGGTTTTTGTGTGTGCTTACTTATAAAATAGAATCATGCTATATAGTCAGCTCTATGACCAAGTTAGCCTTGAAATCAGTAAATCGTCTCAGCTCAACCTGTTTTTCTTTTCAAAATCTATTTTTATTGTATTTAAGCATATGGATGTCTTCATCGTCTTCATCTTTATGAGTATATACCACACACACACACACGCACATGTGAGTAGCCTTGGAGGCCAAAAGAGGGTGTACCCTGGAGCTGGGGCTAGAGATACCTGATACAGGTTCTCTGGAAGAGCAGCACAAACTCTTAACTACTGAGTCATTTCTCCAGTCCCTGGACTCAAACTACTAATAATCCTGCCTCTGCCTCCCAGAGGCTGGGGTAATTATGGGTTCTTCTACCATGCATGGTGGTAAACTATTGAACTAATGCTGAACTAAAGGGTTCTGCTGCTCATAGGATGTTCATGAACCATAGCAATATTAGTAACCTCCTCTTAGTCTCTAAGGAAATCACACAGATTGAAGTTTACTTTCTTTTTAAATTTATTTGACTACAGAACCAAATTTTTCCAATATATCGCCAGGGACATTTTATTCTGAGTGACAAATTGAGGAAAATATTGTTTTGATTCTAAGCTCTTTATTTTTTAAAAAATGAATAAAAGAAAAAGTAATAAAACCCAGATAGCTAAGGTTTCTAAGCAAGTTAGTGACAGATCCACGTCTGAAGTTAGGTCTCCTGTTGCAAATTGAGCATCCTTTGTACCCCGTGAATACTGGTACCCATCTATCTTCCACTATGGAGACAACTAGATCCATACTAATAATAATATTACCTTGCTTTTATAGAGTATCTGTCCTCTAAAACCCTGGAGGCGCGTCGTATGTATTGCCTCATTTATCTCGCTGGAGCTGCTAAGAAGAGGCTGCGAGTCAGTCCGGGGAAGCAAGAACTGTCACTGTGTCACTCTGTCTCACAGGCCATATCCTCTGACCTGCCACAGCAACGTTTAGCTGTCACTCTTTGATGGTTTCCCTTCACTTATAACTAATTGTTTAAACACAGCCCAAGGCAACGTTTTGTTCTGTCAACATCTGATACGACGGCAGTAGGTGTGATGAAAGACATTTGAGCAGGAGAGAGCGGATGTGTCTCCATTTCTTCCATCAGCGTGAAGCTTTGTTTGCCTGCAGATGCAGCCCTGGTTCTGACAGGAGGCCATGTAAGGCAGCACCTTGGAGGCAGAACACTCCACCCATGCTGGAGCTTCACTTTGAAGCTCTAACGGGATTCTAATGAATCTTTTGATTTAAATTATAAACACCCACCTGGACCTAATAATCCTTTTATTTCTGACACTTGCTTCCATTTTCGTAGTAACAAGCCAAATTAATTATTTCATCCTACCCTGAGAACTCATATGAAGCTAAGTCATGGAACATGATCATCTGGGTGGCAGGGGACAGGGTGGTACAGATGGTCAATTCAGCTCCAAAGGCAGTGGGAAATGCTGCCTTCTAGATTGTCTAAAGGCCACTGGGGACAGCTGCCAACAATGATCTCTGCAAGGACTATGGACAAGCAATGTAAAACACCTGTCCAGCAGTCTATCCACAGAAGCCGTTGAGTTTAACCTACCATTTCTAGGGCGCCTACACCAGTGTGGCTTTTCCCGTCCTTCACATTTTTTTGATAGCACAACAATTTGGTCGAGTGGGGAACATGCTAAGCTTTAACAAAGGGAGTTATTAATTTACCTGCCAGGGACGAAAATTATAGAAATCACTAGTATGGATGACAGAAAATTTGGGCTCCAACCTTGTCTGTGTGGCAGATAGAATTTGGTTTTAGCTGAAGTTATTCTAAGAATATGCTGACCCAAGAGGGAGCGTGTGAGGAGTGAGTGAAATAAAATATGTGGTCCCCTGATTTAGGCTCCATTCTATATGCCTCTTAACTCAGGGCACCTCACTGATGTGAGTATAAATCTTGTTCTTAAATGTACAAATCTTTCAACTTTTCTTCAAATTTTGGACAATGAATCACAATTCACTTCAGTACTCAGCCAAGGGAGGGGTACTCCTTTTATCCCCCTGAATTGCTGTCTCTTGTGGGATCCTTACTAGGAGACTCTCACAGACAATTTTAACAATTCTTAGCCTTCCTCTTGCATTTTAATTTCACTTAAAGACGAGACTCGGCTCAAAATAAGTTTCACTATATTCTGTGTTCAACTTAAATTATTCAGAGTTGAGTTATAATTCTGTTTAGATCTATGTAATAACCCCCCAAACATACATTTCATTTGCTGTAAAATTCAGCCACAATAGGCTAAACTTTGATCACTTCAAATACAACACAGACACCTTGAGATTGCAAATAGGTATTTTTAAGAAGCCACATCACCTCTTTTCCACTAGGTGGCGCTGCATATTAACACAGTTTTTCAGAGTTTGTGGAAAGAGCCTGAGGATGCCAGCCAAGGATGAGGGTCGAGAAATCACTTTTACTTTCTACTGTTTCTGAAAGGATCACTAAAGAAGTCAGGGGACTCAGCTGTTCCTAGAAACACTTCCCAACACCTACTGAGAACAACTAATGTTCTATAGCATAAAGTTAATGTTTTCTTTTTCTGTTTTGATTTAAAAACAAACATATTGCTTGGGAATGTTTAATATTGAAAGACAAAAATAAGGATATTATTAACTTACCAGGCACTTCTATAGCATGAATTCCAAAGAAAGAAAAATCAGAGGGAAAGAGAACAGGAGAAGAACCCATAGAGAAAAGGAGACAGAAATACCAAATAGGAATTGGGAAGCCTGGATGCAGAAGTAGGGCTGAATGAGGCTGGCAGTAACCTTGAAAATATGGTTGAGGGAGACTGTAGCTGAGAGGAAAGCAATGAAAACCACAGCCCAACATGTACCTTAGGCAAAGCGTATTTCGGGAGCTTCATTTGTGCAAACGTGCTTCTTCGGTAGGACACGTAGTAATGTGGTCTTCCTCCGGATGTCAGCTGGATCACAGAAACAAGGTGTTAAGAGGAGCTATGGGAGACATTTGGGGTCACAGAAGACCTGCTGCTTGAGCGGAGCAGGCAGCTGCCACTCAGCATCAAGAGTGCCTACCAAGGAGGCTACCCAGGGTTGGTATTCACAGAAAGCAACTTACCCACTGTATAGGGATGCCCAGAAGCCCAACAACAACCATTTAATAGATGAAAATGTAATCTGCAAATTTGCACTGTGGGTCTGAAAAGATGACTCAATGGTTAAGAGCACTTGTTGCTCTTCCAGAGGACTGGGTTTTGATTCCCAGCGCCTACAGTGCAGCTCCCAACCATCTGTAACTCCAATTCCAAGGGATCTGACTTCCTCTCCTGAGTTCAGCCAGGCATGTGGTACACATGAAAAAGCAGGAAAGGAAAAACACTGACACAGAAAAATAAATTATATATATGTGTGTGTTCGTGCATATGTTGTATATTATATGTACATATAAATTATGAGTGTATATATCTGCATATGTATGTTTCTATATATGCTAGATGAACAGCATATATTTATATATACTATATCTATATAGTATGTCTATACAATTTATATAGTATAAATTATATGTACTAGATACATAATTTAGTGACTCTAAAGTCAAGAAAGTGTATTAGCTCTGTTCTTTCCAATGCTAGAAGCCTCAGGAGATATTAACTCACTGTGCTTCAGCCGTCTGGCTTTTCAGCCTCAAGTCCCTGCCATACAAGTAGTCATAATGGGACAGAGGAAGTATCTCAGATTCAGCAGTGGAGAGAAGCCTTCTCATCTCCACACAGAGTTCCTATTGACAGCATCATACCGATGTCTTAGTGTGTGTTCAAGCATGTTAGCAAAACGTCACTTCAGATTTGGGTTCCAAATTAATTCTTGGTCTCTATCTTTTAGAAACTGGCACTGTTTTGTCCAAAGCAGATCAATGGATCTGCAAGGCTTGCAGGACAGAAGGAAAAGGTGTGGTTTCCATCCAGACTTGAACACTACTCTGGGCAGAGTAGAAGGCACCTCTGACAATGTGCCAACCTTGACCTATGTAAATATCTGCAGTTTGAATGTCACTGGAGTTTGTGTGCTTGAAATGTCAAAGACATAGGGGAGTGACTGGAAAGAGACATTCTTCAGCACTATGTGTGGAAATGATGGGTTTTAGGAGGTTACTCATAAAATTCTAAATATAGATTCTGAGATTGGTTTGCATGCCTGATATGTGGATTATAAATTGTTGCCAGGAACCAGAGAAATACTCCTGACAGCATTAGTGTTGAAGCAGTGAATGGGACAGGACTAACACATGCAACCATTTGAATGTCCCTTGAAGCTATCCCTGAACGAAAAGGAACTTGGGAAACATTTCAAAGTTACATAGGCTGATTCTGGGAAGTCTTCTTTTAATGAACAGAATAGATATCATAATTTATTTTTCAAATAAACTCGTGCCTAGAATGTACCTTAACTGTAGTATGTGTATATGCCCATATATTGTATATATTTATATTAATATTTGATGTATTCACTTATTTAGTTGTAAATGTATATATTTATACACTTATTTTGCAATTACACCTTTTCCATTCTTATCCTATAAAGTAATAACATGATTTTTAGATGAATTGACTAAACGAAACCAAAACAATTCTTAAGAGTTAAATGAAACAGTGCACTGTTACTGCAGTCTCCTGTCACTACTTATGAAATCTCACTTCCCATATAGTTTTTCATTCCATTAGTAGAAGGAAATTAGCCATTCCATGTTTCCCTGGGAACCACAGTGCTTCCTGACCATACCAATGGATTATCCTTGTTGGTCTCTTGCCAGTCCCACCTCCATCTCCCGCACAATTTCCCGTTCACATTCTTTTCTTTGAAGTGGTACTGAGGAGGGGGCTGATAAGGAGAAATGGATGTAATGTCTCAGTTCACTTCATGCCTGGAGTTTCTTTGTGGAAACAGGTAAATAGCAATGTATATCACTCCTGGGTCAAAGCACGTTTTAGACAGCTTGGTAAATTCCTACAGAGAATAGGCTAAAAAATTGCCCTTGAGCCTTGCTCCTCCCTTCCACCCCTTTTTCCTCTCTTCCCTCCTCCCCTCTTCCACCTTCTCTCCTCTCTCTGTCCTTCTTGCCCCCATTTCTGATCCATTTCTTCCTTCCCTCTGAGGGTGTGCAGGCATGCAGAAAGAGCTATAACAAGACAGACACTAGAAATGCCCTGAGCCAATGAGCAGAAGTCAGGTCTCCTTACCTGAACAAACACATAATCATCCTGAACAATCAAAGAGTCGGGGTCAATGTAGCCTGGGAAAGGCTTATTTCTGTTAGTTTCTGTGCAGTTTTGCATCCGACAAGTTAGGTATTGTGAGTCTGGAAAGGACAAAGACAGAAGCTTCAGAGGCAATGCACATTTCTCTTGACATTCTGAAGTGTTCAACCAAGTCTCAGTCTCTCTAAGTACTTACTACTGTTCAAATTGCCTTTGTTATTTTATTACGTGGCTACCAGCACCGCACTCTCCTGGAATGTTCACCATGTCTTGTAATCCTACATACAAAATTCTTCTTTACCTTTTCCCTTCTAAACACAAAAGAAAGGATCTTCAAAAACTGACATAATACATTGTGATTTTTGTAACCAAATTTTCATCTTTATTTGAATTCAGCTCCACACTTTGATCTTTGACTGAAAAGCAGGGAAGCACACTTGCCTGCAGTATTTTAAAATCTCAGTTGGAAATTCTGCTGAATGAATACTATAATCCTTAATAAGATAAAGGAGCTTCTTTGTGGATTGGAAATGAAACACAATAGCAACATCTCCAATTCAAAACCTTTGTTCTCATTTTAGAGGTGAGTAAATTGAAACCCGAGTTTTCAGCTGAGACTGCACAGTGGCCAATAAACACAGCGTCATAATGATGGCTCTGGTCAGTTCATTCTCTATTGCTTCACGGATGTTGTATTAGAGAGGCTCTGGCATTTATAAAATCCTTTTATGCCAGTATTCATTTAGAATGCCACATAAAACCACACTGGAATACATTCAGCCCCTCCTCTGGCTACCATATCTACTTTCCTCTCCTGGTTACCTGTCTATCTCTCTTACTCTGCCCATGAGTTTTCTAATTGCCTAATTTATGTTTATAAGTTTGCTCAACCTCCCCCTGGTGTTAAAGACTTTCTATCTACATTTTCTCCTTCCCAGAGAATTTAACTAATGTTACCAATTTACCAAGTTACCCATTCTCCTTCGAGGAGAATGGCACCAAGTTACCAATGAGCTTCTCGATTCAGCCCCCATCTACTTCTGAAGACCTCCCATGAATACTTCCTGAATAAAATTTAGATGCTATACCAATGATACTTGACTATCTGCTTCTAATCCCTACTTCCCCTGTTTCAATCATAAAATAGTGTTTATGAAGACATGGTGTGTGTGTGTGTGTGTGTGTGTGTGTGTGTGTGTGTGTGTGTGTTTCTCTCTGTTATACCCCTAAATCCTATTTCTAATCCTGGAACACTGTAAGCAAAACTGTGAATACTTCTTAATTACATCTGCTTAATTACAGACATTTTTTTCCTAAATTAAATACTAGAACTTGATCATTGTCAGAAAGTGGAGATGGGCAACGTTGTGCTAAGTTGGATCCAAGGGTTCATAAAAGACTTCTCAAAATTAGCAAAGAACTCCCCAAGAACATCTCCTATGAGAAAGGTCAGTAGGGGGCAGCATGCACATTTGGTCCAGCTGACCCTTGACTGATGTAGTTGCTAGTAGACCTGTAAATGATGAAACAAAAGTTCTACTTCCAACCTTCCTTCAGTAGAAGACCGTGTGCCAGCACAGCCCAGCTATCCAGTCTAAAACCCCACTGAGAACTGGTAAAACCTAACGTTGAACAAAAACCTTTAAATATCCTTTCCACCTCCTTTTCATTAGACATCCCATAGTTCGATTTTTTGCACAAATTAAGATCTTTCTCCTTTGAGACTTTCCTTTTTCCATCTCTATCTATAACGCACAAAATCTTCACCTCACAATTTCACAGTCCTCTAGACCATTTTCAGCCTTTAAGTGGATCCATATTTCTTAAAGGTTGCCTGGGGACACAGAAGAAAAGAAGGTTTCTTTCTATGAAACCTGGGCTTCAGTTCTAGCTCTGGTCATGTACCAGATTCATAGCTCCAAGAAAATTGCTTCATCATCTCCAAACCTGCCTCCTTCAGCTATTACATTGTGATAACACAACATCAGTCATTTGCTGGATTAGTTACTACACAGAATTAATTAATATGTAATTAAATAATAAACTTGCTACACGTTTTGAAATTTAAACCTATATAAAAGTCAATTATTATTATAGTCATAATTTTCTTGATTTTTTTTGTTCCCCTGTCCCCCCGCCAGGGATAGGGTTAATTTGAGAAACACAATGGTTGTTTAAAAGATGAGTGACTGTCCTTTGCCACTGCAGTAGCATGCCAGCATGAGGGTATGTACATACTCTGTCACACACCCTCCGCTTCTAGTTGCTGGAAAAGCCAACGCTGAATTTGTTGTGTCTCCCTTCCTTATGTGACTCATAGGCTCCTATGCATGAGGACTAATCCCCCCAAAACTAAGTCCACTCTGAGTCTTCCTGATCCCCTTCACATTGCTGATCTAGCACAAGGCATTTAGATCTAGTACTGGTAAAAGAGAAGTGAAGTGCGGGACCAGAGATACAGAATAGTGCTTCCCTACCTCTGTACATTATGGTCTTGGTTATAAAAGTGCTTAGAGTAGATGAGACTGTATAGAGTGCACATACTCTGAATCACTTTGGTAACCTTTCGGTCTTCCTAAAGTTATTTCCAAATAAAAACTTTTAAAATAGGATGGCACAATATTATAGTATGGACCCACTTTTTGGAAAGCTGTATATATAGACATCAGTCTATGTGTGCCTGAGCGGGACTGTGAATAAAACATACACGAGATGTCAACAGTCATAGCAAGACAGTCAGTGAAAGAATCGGACACTGGGAAGTCAAATTGCTGATCCAGCACTTCTCACTGGGGTGAGTGGAGAGCGACAGAGGGCTTGAGAAATAAGCAGTTCCAACAGACACCTCTGAACATTCTGGTTCCTTCCACTTCTCATTCTGATTACTCTGGTTTTCCTGTACAGTGAGCCTGTGTTCGAGATGGGAATTATAATGCATTTAGCTAGGTAACAAGAGGAAAGTCAAAATTTGTCTTCTGTTTCTACTCAGGATGCTAAAAAGTGAAATTTACAAGCTTAAGGAAAGTGACCTCAAAACCGTCAGCTTTGAGCTGCTGGCCTTGTGAAGTTTTCAGTTTGCTTCCTTTCTCCTTCTAATGGAAACAGAAAGAAATTGGCTGCGGTTCATAATGAGGGACCAATCACTCTTATTCCCCTCGAGGTTTGCTGTAATAGCATTAAGTATGATGAACTCTTTCCATATTCTATTCTGGTGAGTGTGTGATGCGATTCCATAGGAAGTCTCGTGTAATTTGGCATTAATTAATGTCAATTAATGTATGCAACTGCTGGATGTTAAAATTAATTTCATTACCTCCCTTACACAGATGTTTTTCTTGCCACAGGTAATTAGGATACTGCACTGTTCTTTTCAAAGCTCCTCACTCTGCAACAGCAGCTGTTTGGAAAAATGTACTCCCCATCCATTGCAAACCGGTGCTGATAAAGAGAGGAGATGCTGCCTTTAAAAGCCAGGCTCTGCATCAAGGAATGGAAAGATAAGTGTAGGCCATGGGCTGTTGTCTTGGGAAACATAAGTAGACTTCTCAGCCCCAGGAAACTCTAATCCATATCACTGGAACAGACACTATCCCTCTAGACTATCTGTGACAAAACAGATCCTGGTTCTCCCCTTTAGTCTGATGCTTGATGAATTTGCTCAGGTGGCAGGAGCTTACTGGTTATTTAAATCTTCTCTCTTTAATTGTCAGTATTGCCTACTGTGTCTGAGGTCACCACCTGCTAAAAAAAATAAAACTACACATATTTGTGTTTTTATGGCAGTTTCTCGCTTCATATTCAGCTTTTGTGTTCGATTTACTATTTTGTTTGCTTGTAGTTGGCATTGCTTTCCGTCCATATGGAAACATGAAATTTCCCAGTTAGCCAAAGCAATGTTGAAGAGATAGAGAAAAGCAAGAGGTAACCCAATACTTGACTATTTTAACCAAAGAAACACTGTACTTGGGTATACTTATAGTAAACGATGATACAAAATACAGGCCCCACCTGAAATAATACCACACACTCATGGTCGATGACTTTCAACAAAGGAACTAAGACTAGACAAGAGAGAAAGGATGGTTTCCTCAATAAGTAGTGGAAGAATTGGATATTCAAATTCAGAAAGGCAAAATCAGATTTTTATTTCACGTCAAATATAAATATCAACTCAAAATTGAACAAATATTTCAATGTTAGTCTTAAAATAATAAAACTACTAGAAGAAACTACAGGGAATATTTTTCATACCATTGGTCTGGTCAAAGATTTCAGAGGAATGACCCCCAAAACGCAGGTCACCAAAGCCAAAGCAATCATGGTATTGCAAGAAAACAGAAAGCATCCATATGCTGGAGAAAACAATGACTACAGAAAGAGATGAGTTAAAGGTTAAAAGAAAATATTTTCACACCACACATCTGATACAAAGGGAACACCTGAAATCTGCAGAGGCGTCCCTTCAGTGAATAGTCAAGTGGGAGGAATCAGTGTGGCCCTGGGCTTAGCTCACTATCTCCTTTTTATATAGTATGGGATTCCTGTCAGTTCCAAACCAAAGTGGCCCAATCTTCAACCTCAGTGTCACTGGCAGTGTGTCTTGAGATTCCAAAAGTCAACAACTAGGACACTTCCTTTCTCTTTCTCTCTCTTTTTCTCTTCCTCCCTTCCTCCCTCCTCCTTCTTCTTCTCCTATCTCTCTCTTTCTCTCTCCTGCTTATGGATCAAATGTAAATCAAATGTGTTATTGCCCACCATCATGTCTGCCTTCCTACCACCATAATCCCTACAATGATGATCACGTACTCACCCCCAACAACACAGCTACATCTCTCTCTCTCTCTCTCTCTCTCTCTCTCTCTCTCTCTCTCTCACTCTCTCTCTCTCTCTTTGAGATAGGATTTCTCTGTGTATCATCCCTAGCTGCCCCGGAACTAACTCTTGTAGACCAGGCTGCCCTTGAACTCACAGAGATCCTCCCAAGTTCTGGGGTTAAATGCATGCTCCTTCACCACCACCCAGTTAAGACTATACTTCTTAACCCTGTCAAAGCCAGTTCCTCCAACTAGGCCCAAGCATTCAAATGCATGAGCCTATGGGG